CGCTCGCACTTGCGCACTTGCGCCGTGTTTCTGCGCCTATAGAAAAATGCTGACCGTAGACGGTTGTTCAAGCACCGAACCTCCTCTCTATGCAAGCCCCGAGCCCAACGATGCTGAATCTGGATGAATCTGGAGGAATCCACCCTCCTCGTCGCCCCGGTCGCCAACGTACCAGCAGATAAGTTCGACAAGCTCTGCAAGGCCAGGCCGGCTGTTTTTTTTTTGGATGCTGAAACAATGGGGTTTTCATACATTATTATCACTGCTGTTGCTGTTCCTGTTAGCGAGAAAATGGGATTCTCAATACTTCACTCTCTATTGCTGCTGGCTGCACATGTGGTGATCATAGATCCGAGCGTTCCTCGACTTGCTTAGTCCGATGCCTGCAAGTGTGCAACTTGAAAAGGCCAAACATAATAGAGCTCACATGGCATGGAAAGCCTCTTTACGCTGTGGGGAGGCCTTAGACCCCAGAGAAGGACAGTGCATCCCTCAGGATTTTTCAGAGTCTGTGACCGGGTTGGGGAATTAAGGGCGAGACTCCCACAGGGTGGTTCCAAAGCAGGGGTACATAGCCCAAAGTTATCCATTGCTTGTCGCAGGAAGTCCCCAAGAGTCCAAGAGGAACTCCTAACCTCAGAAGTTGCCAGCCCATCGGCTCGAAGCTTGCGGTCATGTCCATCAGGCTTGCATGTCTGTTAATGTGAATCTTGCCGAGGTGAAACGGAAAAATGGCGTATGCGGTCTCGATTTCACCTGCGGCTTATCGAAAAGCTGAAAAGACCCTTCATCTACCCTGTTTATGGGAGGGAGTGACCCCTTCATGCTTCCTTGGAAGCCATGTTATACATGGAGACGGATCGTCTTGTAAGCATGCAAATGCAAACCTGACAATACATCAGCCATATCCTTTATTGCAGTAAACGATCTGATCTCGAGAGAAATTCATCTTGAATGTTCAAGACTATACTTGCATATATATATATGTATATATCAATGCAGAGGAAGGGGGAGTTGGTGCTGAATCACGAACCACTGAGCAGGAAACAGAGTAATGCATTCAACATGTTCGTGGGTAGTTGTGCAGCATGGAATGTCGCGGCTGTCCTCGGTTGCCAATTCAAGTCAAACTTGCTGGCGGAAGGATTGGAATTGGCTGTAATCCCAAGCGTATCTTTTCATGAAATCTGTTTCATCAGGAAAGATAGATATCATATGTGGTTTCCTGTTGAACATATAAACGATGTCTTCTTACATGCAAACCAGGAAATTCATGTCTCACATGAGGAACTGGGAGCATGGAAAGCTTGCTTGATGCTGCTCCCTTTGATCGCAAGAATCTACGCAGACAAGATCTGCCAGAGCCTGTTCTCGCATTAGGCCTCCTGCTCGTTTCTTGAAGTTCACGGAAGTTGCAAAAGCGAGGCTTCAAGCCGTGGATGGGAAGATTCTGGTGGCAGGTATAGATGAAACCCTGTTGACGATGGATTGCATAATATCGCCATTGGTGCAAGGTAGTCAGAGTCATCTCGCCGTGACACACCTTGAAGACGACATGGTTCTTTCAACCCGACTAGCTTCATGGCACAATGAGCTCAAACCCCAAGCGTTGTATAAGTTGTAATAAACATTTTGGTGCTTTACCTTCATTCTAGAGGACAAGGTTACTCTAGGTAAAGCGCGCGCAACTTGTCCAGGCCTTGGGACGCTGAAGCCCAACACCCCGAACTTCGAAACCCTGAAGCCCCCTATGGCCTGAACCCCTATAAGCAATTGTTGGTATCTTTGTCTGTCATTTTGGTCCATCCAGAAGGAACCTAAACACGAGCTGTGACACCCCAAGATGCTAAATGCGCAGAATCCGTGGGGTAGGGAGGTAGGGGTGCCATGTTCTGTGGTATTTTCCCATGTGCCCACCATCTGCAAAATATCCGACGAAAGTGTGGCCATTGTGCAGTCAGAGGTTCTGCATCAAATGGGATGAACATTTTGAGCCGCATTTCAGGGTCCAGACATATTGTACAGTATTGTCCCGACGCAGGGGCTTCATTTAGACCGGAATGGTGTTCCACAGCTCTCCAGTCAAGGGCGCGCAGTGTTTTACAGAGCACGCAGACGCAGCAGGCCATCGTCTTGCCTCCTGCAATGGACACTTGTGTGCCTGTTGTAGAACTTGCGCCTCCTCGATTTGACGTGGACACGCAGAAGCAGCTTGCCTGAGAGCAGCAGTTGTTTTAGTCATGAGACGTCGTTTTGCTTTGATGCAGCTTGCGTTTTCTGACAACGCTGCTTTGAATTCCTTTGTCGGATCAGGGATCCATCAAGCATGACATGGCCCTGTCCCTGCAAGGCATGAATTCTGTGCCTATCTGGAAGAACACGGATACGCGGCAGCGTTGTTGCAAGAGTTGGCAAGGGCAGGTTAGTTTAGCTGTTGACCAGCGTTATTACTTGTTCATGCCACCAGTGTTATTCTAAGCGACAGCATGCTGCCCGTCTCAATTTGTTGTAGTAGTTTATCGTACTGTAGTCATTTTTTTGTGTGGCTTGGCATTGCAAACTGAAGGTGGTGGCAGACGTTGCCAGTTGTGCAGATGTGGCAACTGCCCGATCCTTGATGTGGGATTTCTTGGAGGCGATGAGTGTGCTAGGAAGCATGCAAGTCCACCACGTTGCAGTTGGGGTCCTGCACACCTCCCAGTTTTTGAGTCGGAACTAGCAAAGAATCACCAACAAAGATTTCTTCTTCTGATGGACCCAGCCATAGTTCGCGTTATCCCCTGCTCCATGGTGACCTGAAAACGAAGACGGAGCTTTCATTGTGAAACGTGCCTGAACGGCGGTTGTTGGATAAAGGGGTGTGCCAGACCTCCCGGCATGGCAGGGTTTGACTCAAGAAGTCAGCCCTGCATATGAGCCATAGTCTAAACTCCTTAAATGGGTTATATAGGGGATTACATAGGAATCTACTATAGGGGTTATTAAGGGGAATACTAGGAGTTTAGACTATAGCTCATATTGGGGGCCAGATTCAATTGGATAGACTTACAATACAGAAGCCCAAGAGCATTCGCCTTCTTGAATCGCCTTCTTGTGGTGCAATGACTCAATTTACGCTTGCTACTTGCTTTGAATGAACGAGCTTCCCGGATATGCTTTACACTCTAGTAGGTTGTTCAAGTTCTCTAAACACCCGTTCATTCTCGGGCTTCGCCAAGCCTCGCATCTTGAGCCCTCAATCTTCAGTTCCCCCTACGCTCCTTAATCCTGAAACATTCAACTCTAAGCCTCTAACCCTAAAATCAGTTTTCCGACCAGGCTTTTCCGCAAACAAAGGTACGACGAGATGACGTAAAGACTTGGGATGACAGGCCCAGTTCAGTTCTTCAAAAGAGATTAGAGTTTAGTGGTCGAGTCTAGGGAAACGACCGGGTTTGCTAAGCTCGTTGTGAAGACCCCCCCCATAAAATGCCAACACTTGCCACTCCCATTGCTTACCGGGGGCTAGTAATAGCGAATAACAGAAATGGTACATGGGGACTACATTGGGGCAAGTTTCTCTTCTTCCCTGCTAAGCACCAGTTAGCTGCGAAGGTATGACTGGCTACCCAACCCTAGCAATGGCATTCTGCATGGCTTCGGTTTTGGCCAATCCGACTTCATGTGGCACCTGCGGCTGCTTCCAAAGGTGAAGGCAAGCTGAATGTAGTTATAGTCCCCCTTAGGTAGATAGAATACGGAATTGCTCAATGTCATCAGAAAATCCCCATATGCTATCTACTTAAGCGCGACTATATTGACTATGTATTTTTTTGAATGCTTTGAGATTGTTGCTGTCATCAGGAGTCCTGCGCCCAATTCCCTCAACCCTGAGCCGCTTCACCATATGGGCGTTTCCTAAAATTAGGGTTACAATTTTGGGGGTCCCTAGAATATCTGCTTATGTTGAGAAACCCCTGCATGATGCGATTCGAAATACCCAAATAGGTTGACTTTAGCCCAAGGTTTCTCTCCAGGAAATTGTTGGGCCGCAACTACATCCATTTTGTGTATCTGGACCATTAGGGTGACTGTTTCTGCTGTTTACTTGCAGGAAGTGACCGAAGGCAGGCTTCCTCTCTGGCCTTTCAACAATCACTCTTTCCAGGATTCCTCCCACTAGTGCTTCTGCCTGCCGCGTTGCCAGGCTGCCTTTGCTGCAATATGGCGAACTGACGATCTCTTGGTATCTTGAACCTTCTTACATGTGTTTGTTTCTTGACACATTTTCCGAAACTCGCTTTGGATGATGTTGCTTTTCGACGGTCTGAGTCACTGTAGGTATCCTTCGATGGCGGAAACATATTCCGGCCCTGGAGATACAAACGAGATTGGCTGACCGCAGGAGGCGGAAAGCTTGAGTGAAGCCATGCTCAGCACCTAACCCCTGGCAATGCGCAATATGAACATGTTGGCGCCCAAATAACAATACTTGTCAAGTGGAAGGGGCGTCTATTAAGATCGGGGCAAGGGTGTCGGATGCAGCGCCTGAACTTGCCTGAGGCTGGTTTCATTGTGATCAGAATGCACGGTTCGAGGACAGCAAGGGCAAAGTTTGCGTACAGGGTCTTGTCACACTGTTTGATGCCAATGCCGAATCGGGTGGTCTCGTGGTGATTCCTGGAAGCCATCGCTGCCATGAAGCCATCTGCAAAAGGAGTGCCTTGTCTGCAGATAAGTTGCTCAAACTTGCAGCTTGCGGAGTGTCAGGGGGTGGATGCAACATGCCGTTAAAAGAGGATCCCATGCCTTGAGTGATGTCCCTTGTGCCTGAGTCCTGCGCTGCGTTCTTCACTCCAACCTTTGAATTCGTGTCCCCTTTGTAGTGCTTCCAATGAACTGGGCCATGTCTGCCAGCCTGAAGTCATATTCATCGTTGGAACCTTTGAGGTTCGAGAACGATACAGAAAGCCATAACTTGGAACTCTAAATCCTAAAGCCCTGGTACAACACCTTTGCTTGTACTCCTCAAAGCAGCAAGGCCTAAATGAGCCTCATTCGGGATCGATCTGGTGAGGTGCAGCATGGGTTCCAAAGCCAAATGCGGATAATCCCAGGTGTGTTGGCCAAGCGGGCTGGTGACTTCGTGCCGATTGCTTTGGACGATCCAATCCTGAAGCAGGCTGACAGCTCGTTTCTTGTCTTGCTCGAGCTATCTTGTGCTTGAGGCGGAGTGGAGGAAGGAATGTTGTGTCTTGTAAAGGGGATTCGGAAATTGTTGTTCTATGGATACAGGACATTGCAGGGCACAATGATCTACAAAATGATTTTGAAAATTCTTAACCCGAAAACCTAAACCCTGTAAATCTTAAACGGCAAGGCCAGCCCATTAAGGCCAAGACTTGTTTCAGATGAATCCGCGCTTTAGGGTTTACGGGTTTGAAAGTTGCGCATGACTGGCATTCTGGCCAAAATCATGAAAGCAAACCTTTGAGCCGCACGATGGACAACCCTGTCCATGGTTACAGGTTGTTGGGATAGATAAAACAGCCAAATCGGAGCTTCCAAAATTAGAGGTCTCTTTTTGGGGGTCCCTAGGCCCTATACTAGGGTTCTAGAAGGTTTAATCTATATTGGGGCCCCCTCTTTAGAGAGACCCCAAGACATCCGGCAATTTAAGGGCTCAGCAAGGGGCTGTAATCTGTTTCTCAAAGCAGTGTCCGCTGCAGGGGGCCGTTCTCCTCCGTGCTCAAGCAGGAGACCTGTTGCTGTGGGACTCGCGCACAGCACCTTGTCTCAGCCCGAAAGGCAACAAGGCAAAGGCAGTGCGCGATGCGCAGGTATTTCCGCAACACAACATAGTATAGGATGATATGACTGATGTGATACGTATACTTAAACTTAGTGTTGTACTATGTTATATAGCCAAAGAACGGAGAATATTATTCATTCTGCGTAACCGCTACAGAACAAGTTCATACATACACATATGTGGTTATATGTATCAGTGTACAGGTATATCCAGGCTTCGCAGGAGGAATAGATACAACTGCAAGCAGCCGTGACTGAAGTTCTTTCCAGAGCTCTTGTCCGAAGGTCCACTGCAACACGCCTTCCCTCACTGCTTCGGAGGCTAAACCGGGCTGTATGCAAGTGGGAGAGTTCTCAACAGCTTTGGGTTTTGTTCAAAAGCCACTAAGCAAACACATCAAGGATCCCCGTATTTCGTAGGTACACCATGAAACCCGCATTCTGAAAAATGCCCATGTAATTTACGTTGACGTGTCTGAGCTCATCCACGTCTTGACCTAGAGTCGTCGATGTCTTTGAATTGAATTGCAGGCCCTTTGAACCAGAAGGGATTTCCTAATAGGTGGGAGTACCACCCTGCCATAACATGGGATATCTCATGTCCTATCATGCCCTCAGAGAGTTATTCACAGTTCTACAGTGCCCGGGCTGCTGGATAGGTTGAAGTTGACCCTGTTCCTCGACCTGATGGCTGGCAACCAATCCGTCAGGTTGGGTATGTGTCCTGGCTTAAGTACAAGTTCCAGTCCTGAGGGGCGTAAGGCTTTTACACGTGCACGGAAAATTTGCGCACTGAATGTGTACCGCCTTCTATATCAGCCACTGAGTCTAGCTTTGCGGCGTGATTGCAGGCAGGAGACATGACGCACGAACTCAAGAAGCAAACAGCAGATGATAGTAAAAGATCGTGCGAAAGGCCATTGTGGCAGAATTCCCAAGGTTTGCATGACACCACGCAAGTTCGCTTCTCGGGAAGTGCTGGAAAAGCGAAAGGATGCCTTTGTCAACAATGGCAGCACAAGCCACTGGCCCCACAAGTTGCTTGGAAACATGATCATGGGTTCCCGTACTACCCCCCCCCGAAGGTTCCCCGTTGAGTAGAGTTGTGGGGGTAGTGAAGGCTGCTTTCATGATTGAGGGGGAAAAGAGGCGCGCACTTCAGATTTCCGCGCTGCGCAAGCAGGTTCGTCTCTGGTGGTTATCCGCTACCGACTGCAGTGCCAAATGACCCCCAGAAGATCTCTGAGGCCTGGGTTTTAGTGTTTTGGGGTTTTAGAGTTGGGAGAGTTTCATGAACCAGTTCCAAGCTGACTAGCTCAATTCAGTACTAGCGACTTTGGAAAGGGTACGACATGTGTCTGCTAGCTAGTGTTTATGAATATATCCTTATAGTGTTTGATTTCATTTGCAGTCTCCAACTTGGTGTGTTTGTCATAGTCCCACTGATCTTCAATTTGGGAATAACCTTGCACAAAGGTCCCCATGTCTCCAAACATCCCAGGGTTTTTATTGCTTCCTGCATTTTACGATGCTTGCATCAATACCCTTTGTTTGTTGTGTCTGTTCTTATTCTTCCAGAATTGTGGCAACACGTTCAACATTCTTGACATTAACATCTTCACACTGTTGGACATGTCAATACATTCCTCATATTCTCAGCTTCCATTGTATCCCCTTGTGCCTTATACTCCGAAGACTAGAATCTTTTCCAAGCTCCCTAACATTCCCGGACCAATCTTCCAATGTTGTTCATCTTATCATTTTCAGACCTTATCTCTGCCATTCTGCAGCGTGCTCAATTTTCCATCAGGCTTCAATTTATTCTTCGTCCAATGCACAAGACCATTGTTAAACAGCTGCGTACTTCAGCCGAGCAGATTGCAGAAGGCAGAAGGGCTAGGGAAATCGAGTTGGGCAAACAACAAAGTATGAGATCCAAATGGAAAAGGTGAAAGGCAGCATTTTCTAAACAGCAAGAGACGAGCAACTTCGAGAATTCTATGAATGTTGTTAGTATGGGCATAACCAGGAACATTAGGAATGCTCCGCATAGTGAAAGGGCTGCGCTCATTGGACATATGTTCCATTGAACAACGGTTTTCGGGAATCCTGAACCTTAAACCCAGTTGGGAATGAGAGAAGCCTGGCTCAGACAGGATAGGGTGCCCTAAACCCTCGACTCAACCCTAAAAAACCCATGCGATTTAGGGAAGGTTCGGATTTTCTGACCGTAAAAGGGATATTAACCCAAGGAATCAAAGAGCACTTACCTTCCTAGGGCTCCTATTAGAGTGCTCTTTGATTCTGTTTAACCCAACTCAAAAATCCTAACCTGGTTTAAGGTTTAGGGTGTAGGGTTTAGGGTGTAAGGTTTAGGGTTTAAGGTTCATGGACACGAGAAACACTAAGGGTCCAAGCGCCCAAAGTACCTGGGATCCAGCAGGTTTTGAGCAGTTATATGGTCCTTGAGTACAAGTACTTGGACGCTTAGGGAAAATGAATGGATCCCAGTCGTGGTCACAGAAACCCATTTCCCTTTGCCTACTGGGACAAGAGGCAAACTGACCTTGGTTTGTAAAATCCTTACATGAGTAGTATTTGCTTCATGCCGCACTATTCACTGAGTCGCACTCTGCTTCCTAGGGATATCTGCCCCACAACGCATCCTCAGTTTAGGGTTTAGGGTTTAGGGCAACGCAGCCTCATCGATTCTTTAGGTTGCACCAGTTGCAATGTCAGAGCCATGGCCGTGCATGGACCATCTGCGAGCAATCAGCGGGCGAAGCCCTTGTCTTGCGGACCCATGCGCAAGTTCAGCTGGTGAGATTCGGGGCGCCACTCGTTTGGGTTTCTGAACACCCTAAACCCTAAATATGAAACCCTAAACCCTAAGCCCTAAATCCCAAACCCTAAATCCTAAACCCTAAACCTTAAATCCTAAACCCTAAACCCTAAATCCTAAACCCTAAACCCTAAACCACTGTACTTTCTCCATTTCAGAGACCCGTCGCTTTTCGACCTGTGGTTTGCAGAACCTGGGGCTCTAAGTCATATTGGGGTTATATTAGGGCCTAGGGGGTTTAAGGCCTTAGGGTTTAGGGTATTAGGCTTATATTGGGGATATATTGAGATAATGGAGAATAAGATGGAAACTACTATCTAGGGTTTAGGGTTTAGGATTCAGGAAGTCTATAAATAATACCTACGTTGGGCCCCAGTCCCCATAAATAGCACCTACATAGAGCCTTAGGGGAATGGTATCTGAATCTTGCAAATATTTGAACCATGATGCGCGAGCGGGGGATGTCATCGAGAGTCAAGGAGGCCCCCCTAGACTTCATATTTGTTCTGCGGGTGCTTTTAGGGGTCTTCATACATAGGTAGATGATGAACCTTAAGTAATGCCTGCCTTGCAAGAGAGCCTTGAATCTGTACCGGCGACATGAATTGCTTAATCCTGATGCAAAAAGACGCCGCAAACCTGTTTGGGTTTGGGGAAGTTCCAGGCACGAAGCTCCCCAACATAGCCAAGTAATGTCCTATGATATAGGGGCCTGAATAATGTAGGGTTTAGGGCTTAGGTGTTTAGGGCACTAGTGTTGCAGCAGATGCTTTCCTTTGGGGGGATTCGGGTTGAGGGTTTAGCGCGCGGGTGTTATAACTACGCTGCCAGAACAGGGACATGCAGGTGATAAGCTCTGGCAGTTCGACATGATAAGCCTTACTGTACTTCATGGTGGTTGCCTAGACCCTCCATCTACCCTCTATATACCCTTCATAGGGACCATATACCGCTATTTGAAGGATACAGGACGGGAGGGTCCTGGTTATTTGAAAGTTTTTGGAAGTTCTGGGTAGGTAAGCCCTAAATCACGCCAGTGGCAGAGAGACTTGCTAAAGGACCACTCTTGCGATAGGTTTGCTTGGTAGCTGGGCAGATACCCTTTAAAATTGCAGGGGTCAAGGAATCCTATTATACTAGAACACGACGGGTTTTTAGCCTAGGAAATACAAACCCTAAACCCTAAACCCTTAGCCTAGGGAATTCAACCACTGGCCTAGTCATGCTGTTCCCACAGGATGGCGGGGTTTAGGGTTTTTGGAAGCCAGTATCCTCGAATCACGGCCCAGCTCCTCCCATTTCCCCAGCAATTGGAAGTCAAAGAACTTGTTGTCCTATTCCTGTCAGCTGAAGATTCTGGTATGTTGTAGGTTCATGAAGAACCCTGGGGCTCTAACTCTATAAATAATACCTACAATAGGCCCCAATGACCATAAATAGTACCTACATAGAGCCTTAGGGGAAATGACATCATGGCATATGTAGACAGTTTGGGGCTTGAGGCTGCGGAGCCCTATGTCTGCAACACCCTTACCCCCGAGGCTCCATGGAGCTGCTGTTTATGCAGACTTTTGGGCCAGTGTAGGTATTATTTATAGACTTCCTAAATCCTAAACCCTACACCCTAAATAGTAGTTTCCATGTTATTTTCCATTATCTCAATATATCCCCAATATCACTCCAATATACGCCTAATATAACCCTAATATACCCCTAATAAAACCCCAATATACTTTAGAGTCCCAGGGTAAGCCTACACAGAATTGGGGGTCATCTTCACTGGCTTTAATGTGCGAACCCCTCAAGCCAATCCACACTCCCCACACCGGAATGGGTTTAGGGTTTATGGGATTTAGGGTTTTGGGTGTTTCTGGGTATACCACACCCCTCCAGAATCATGGAATAAAAGGCCAGTAGATGTTGTAAAGACCCTTTCTGGGGGTCCATCATGGTTTTCGGGGAGAAGAAAAGAAAACCAAGTCTCAAAGCTTAAGCCCCAAGCCCTAAGCCCCGAAACCAAAGCCCTGAACCCTAAGCCCTAAACCCTAAGCCCTAAACCCTAAACCCTAAGCCCTGAACCCTAAACCCTAAACCCTATAAACCCTAACTGAAACCCCAGCCCTGAACCTCAAGCCCCACAGTCGCAGCTGTTTCTCGGTTGCTCGGAAGAAGCCCGGTTGCTTCCTCCGCCTTGACGCCATGGTAGGCCCAGGCGCACACCTAGAGTTTAGGGGTAACACTAGGGTTATATAGGGGTAATATTTGAATAATGGAGAAGAAAATGGAAACTACTATTTAGGGTTTAGGATTTAGGATTTAGGTTATAGTCCCCCTTAAGTAGAAAGAATATGGGGTATATGGGGAGCTCAGTAAAAATACTTATACCCGAGATCATATCCTATCCGCGTAAGGGACTGTAAGGGTTTGGGGCTTAGGACTGAGGACCTATATGGTTTCGGGCTTATCATGTATAGGGTTGGGGGTTGATAAGGCTTAGGCCACGCGTTTAGGGCCAGCGGTTTAGGGCATATTCTTTCTTGCAACCCCACGTTAATTTCTATTCTTGTAGAGGAAGAGAACACCTTCCTCCAGTTTTTAGAGGGTCCAAGTACCCAATAATTAGGTACTTGGGTTCAGGGTAGTATTAATTGTAATACAGGTTTTGGATAAGTACACGACTATTAGGTACTTGGACCCTTAGGGTTTCGTTTGACTCAAAGCGCTACTTACGGGCTGTCTAGAAATCCAGCCGACAGGAAATCAAAATTAATCCCCTCCTTGATTGCTAAGACCCCACCCCTCTCACGATAACAATTTCCGTAGCATGTTACGATATACTTGGAATATCTTGGAATATTTGTAACTAAGGGGTGTGGGGCTTTAGGCTCAGGGGGAAGGGATGAACTGCGTCCTCCATGCGGCGCGTTGGGGTTCAGAGCAGTTTCCGATTTGGGGTCTAGAGGCTTCTGAAATTAGGGATGCTCTCCCTCCTGTCCGTGTCCGAGGTAAATTCCTTCCCTGCTACATATGTCTTTGGCACCGTCTAGGTACCGTCTACAGACATACATGAAGAAATCACCTTACATCATATTAATACTTCCCCCCTAATCCTAGCTGCCATGAATTTTGTCCCGCAACATACATGAGGTCTTTTCACAAAACCTTTTCTTATTACCCGGAATTGGGGCGTTTAATGCTGGAGGGAGGGGCCGGGAGGGGATTGAGAAAATGTGTATCCTTCGAGTAAATGATGGTTTCCATAAACAGGGGGACCCTCATGTAGACCTCAAATTCTCTAGTGCTTTTGTGAAGACTTCCAAAAAAGAATCCCAATTTTTTGGAACCGCTTCATTCATTAAAGGTTTGGAAAAGTTTGCGGTCTCCACTGGCCAACTCTGCCTAAGG